GTTGTTGTTGCTGCAATTATATCTCTGGTTCTCTATATTCAATCTTGTTGTTGTTAAGTGCCATTGAGTCAGTTCCAACCCATAGCAACACTGTATAGGGTTTCCAAAGAGCAGGTGTTGAGCTTGAGCTGAAAACCTCGCGGTTCAAACTGGCTTTGCAGTCCAGCGCATTAACCCACAGCAGTACACCAGTATTCCTTTTCAGTCTTACAAGTCTATTGTACTTTGTATACTTTGACATCTGGATTGAGTGTAGGTAATATTGTTATGTACGTTAGTCTAACGTCGTCTGCTGTTGTTAGTTATTTTTCCAAGTAACTCGTTTTAGTTGTTTTGTTGTTGTTGTTTGTGTGCTGTGTGAGGTTGGTCTGATTTTTACAAATTCTTTTCATTTTTGTTTTTCTGAAAATGACCTAATTGGGCTGTCATCTTGGATTGACAGTTTTTCTAGATATATGATTCTTCGTTGACAGTTTCTTTTAGAGTTTTATATATACCTACTTGTCTGCAAGGTTTCTGCTGAGAAATCAGACTGTGGTTTTATTATTCCTCTTTTGTAAGTAACTTTTCATTTTCCCCAAGCTGCTCTCAGAGTTCTTTCCTTGTATTGAGTTTAAAATTTTTTGATGTTTTTCTTTTGGGGTTTGTTTGAAATTTGATCAACTTCTCATCTTTCATGATGTTTGGGAAGTTTCCTTACAACAACTCTTGGCCAATATTCTGTATGGGTTTTTGTTTGTCTCTTCGTGTTCTGGAATTCCTATCACATGTAAGTTATTCCTCTTGAAGTTCCCCATGTGAATCAGTGACATTCGTGGATTTTTTTCTTATTGTTCTTCTAGTGGATGATTATTGAGAGGTTTTTCTTGTAGCTCAGTAAATCAGCTTTCCACTGATTCAATTCTATTTCTTTGACCTTTTAGAGTATCATCTGTTTCTGAAGTCTTAGTGTTAGAATTCTGGCTTTCTGATTACTGATTTTGTATGATGCCCATTTTTTTCAATTATTTTGCAGTTTGTTTCCTGATTTTTTTCATAGTTTTGTCTGCATTTTCCTTGATTTCATCTGTAGTTTTCTTGATCTTTTTCTCAGTCCGTTAAAGTTGCCTAATTAGCATTCTTTTAAATTCCTAATCAGGCAGTTCTGAACCTTTTCTGGCGTTATTTTTTCTGACTCTGGATTTGGGTGGCTTGTTTGAGGTACTCTGTCTTGTTTGTGTACACTGAAATTATCTGTTTTCCCCAAGACATTGTGGTGTCATATTTAATATAAAATATAAGTTAACAATTGCACACTGGTGTATTCTCATGTACTCACTTGGTGGATGTGGTGAAGACTGAAAGTGTGAACACAGCTAGTTCTCTGTTCATTGTTTCTGTAGCATAGTTCAGGATGGCTTCATGTACCTCCAAATCTGGGGCACTGTACCTGATGCCCAACCATAGATAGAGCAGAGGTAATACAGGAGAGGGTGATACTGGCTGCTGGATTGGTGAGGGTGGGGACTGGTCACACCCCCATCTACATGGCGGGCACAAGAAAATGGGAGAACTGCACACCCTTGCTACTAACATTAATTTGCTTCCTATCCTCCCAGTCTGCTGTCTCAACATCCATTCATAAAAGTTCAAGATGGTAGCCCCACTCCACTTCAGCCCACAGTCCACTCATTTTTGAGCTCTCTCTACTCCTGTTAAGCTGCTTCTTCCAGGTGGCATTCTGTCCTATCCTGTGATACTCAGAGTTCCAGGATTACCATTGTGTCTTTTTTACTCTGTTTCCCATGCCTTTGCTGCAGAGGGCTGCCACAGTGTGCATGCCAACTCCACAATCTTGCTTAGAACCTCTGATCTTATGGATCTAAGCACCAGATCTCTCAGCCTTGTTTTGATAGGAACACAGTCAGTCCTTATTCCTTTGCACCTTCTGCCTCTGTAGACATCATTATTCCTGTAAATTTCTCACTCTGTTTGAGTAGCAGTAACATTCAGCAGGTCTTATATGGTCTTAAAGCCTAGAAATTTTCACTCCATGTACAAAAGTATTCCCTAAAACCATTGCCATTGAGTTGATTCCAACTTATAGTTATCCTTTAGAACAGGGTAGAAATGCCCCACAGTGCTTCCAAGACTGTAATCTTTATAGAAGTACATTGCCACATTCTTCTCCCACTGGTAGATTTGAACCACCTACCTTTCAGGTAGTGCTAACTATGCCACCAGATTTATTGTATATTTTCTATAGGATGTATCTGAATTGAAATCAACTGGACAACAGTGGGTTTGGTGGGTTGTGTGTGTGATTTGCATCTTGGTGGTAATTCCAGGGTGACACAAATGGTCAATCACTTGCCTGTTAATCAAGAAGCTGGAGGTACAAACCTACCCTCCAAACACAGACCTGGTGATCTGCTTCTAAAAGGTGATCTGCTTCTAAAGGTCAAAGTGATCTTGAGATCACTATGGAGGTGTTCTTGTCTGAAATGCATGGGGTCTCCATGCATCAGAATCTATTCGATATCAGCTAACAAAAACAAGCTTGGAGGCAACATTGGATTCATGTGCTCAAATCCCACGAAGGTCTCTTGTCAAAGAAGTGAATGAGAATGAAGGCCCACATACCAGTCAGTGTGACTCAGTTTAGATCCTGCCAGTGGTGTAAATGGAGCAAACAATGACATCATAAGCTACTGTACTCATAATGCAGAAGTTTGGTCTTTGTGATGTGAGTTGCTGAGAGCGGAATCACACAGCTATGCTTGTTAGCAGTGAACATGGCTATAGATTCAGAAACTAGATGAGCCCTGCTTGGAGCTTTGGGAATATTGAGGGTCACTCTGAGTAGGGAGGATACCATGGGAACAAGAAAACTGTGGAAAACTCCAAATCTGCCTTCATTGAAAACCCCACCACTTGGTTTTATCTGGTCCCCTTTTTTCTAACACCTGTGTCTTCTGGGATTTTTATTTTGTTTTGCTATTTTGGAAGTCCAGACTCAGAGCTCTCTAAAATTAGTGCTTGCCAGAGTCCTGTGCTGTGGTGCTGTGGGATAAAGCACTGGACTGCAAGGTCAGTTTGAACCGCAAGCTCGGTGATTCAAACTCACTAGTCGCTCTTCAGAAACCCTATGAGTCAGAAGTGACATGATGGCCCTTAACAACTGGAGTCCTGGTGTGGTGCTGTGGGCTAATGCGCTGAACTGCAATGTTGATTTGAACCACAAGGTCGGCAGTTCAAATTCACCAGCCACTCCTCGGAAACCCTATACACCATTGCTGTGAGTTCAAACCAACTCAGTGGCACTTAACAACCACATATATGAAACATTAGCAGAAGGAACACTGGTGGAACAGTGATTCAAGTGCCCAGCTGCTAACTAAAAGATCATTGGTTTGACTCACCAGCCCCACTGAGGGAAAAAGATGTGATAATGTGCTTCTAGAAAGATTAGAGGACTGAAAACCCTATCAGTCAATTCTACTCTAAAGGGTCACTGTGATTAGGACCCGACTTGATTGCAGCAAGTATACATGAGGGAGCCCCAAAAATTCATGGAATCTTTTACTTAAATTTTTCCATGTGGTGGTGATGTGCTGTGGAGTTAGAACCGGCTCATAGTGACCTTGTACAGGGTTTCCGAGGCTGTAAATCTTTACAGGAGCAGAAAGCCTCATCTTTCTCCCTTGGAGCAGCTGGTAGTTTCGAACTGCTGACCTTGTGGTTCACAGCCTGATTCATAACCACTGTGCTACCAGAGCTCCTACATTTTTCCATAGATTTTTTTGAATTTCATTTGTATGAGTTGGAAGGAGCCCAAGGTGTGCAATGTTGAAAGAGCTCAGCTACCAATAGAAAGGTCAGTAGTTAGAAGCCACCAGCCATTACGGTAAAGAAAGATTTATTAGTCTGCTTCCATAGGGAACACTATGGAACAGTTCTACTCCTTCCTATGAGTCAGAATCTTCTTGACAGTAACAGGTTTGGTAGGATGTGTTAGTTAAAGGAACCCTGGTGGCACAGTGGTTAAGTGCTCGGCTGCTATCTAGAAAGGTCCGTCGTCCACACCCACCAGCTACTGTGTGAGAGCAAGATGTGGCATCTGTTTCCATTGGTATTACAACCTTTCAAACCTATAAGGTAGTTCTGCCCAGGCCTACAGCATAGCTGAGAGTCAGAACTGAATTGGTGGCAAGAGGTTTTCTTTTCTTTCAAAGTATTAGCCAGGATGATGCTAATCATTCATGTGGTCGACTGCTAACAGGAAGGTTGAAGTTTTGAGTTTGCTCAAAGAAATCTCAATAGAAAGACCTGGCGATCTACTGGTGACAAATCAGCCATTGAAAGCAGTTCCACTGATAAACATGGGGTCATCAGAGTAAACTGATGAGGACTTGATGTGTATCAGCCATTGTACAAGTTATAGCACTGAAATACACAGAGGTGGTCTAGTCCTTGCTGATGCAAACAGCAGTCTCAGGGGATCTGGAGTAACTTTTTTATTGGCATTACCAGCAATCCATTCTGCATGGCATTTCCACTTTCATGCCCCCAAACACTGCTGTGTAAATCCAGTACCTAAACTGGCTTTCACTGACAGCAGAGTGAGACACCCAGAAAATGTTTAGCAAGCACTTGCTTTGTGCCATCACCCTGGAGATACAGAGGAACCTGTGCTCAGTTGCTTCCTTCTTTCTAGCCTCTTACCATATAATGGGCAAACTTAAAACGTGTTCCAACCATGTAGGACAAATCAGGACTACCCCCATGGGGTTTCCAAGGCTGTATGTCATCTTCACAGAAGCAGAGGGCCACAGCTTTCTTCCTCGAAGTAGCTGGTGGATTTCAACCACCAATCTTTTGGTTAGCAGTTGAGTGCTTAACCACTACACCAGAAGGGTACCTCTGGTGACCAAGGAAATGCAATTATCTAGTGTGCCTGAGAGTTGTTTGGAAAACCATCTCTAGCAATGACAGTTCTTCCTTTTCTCTTGTTTCATTAGAACTATCATATGCTTGGATCTTCAATGAATATCCATCCTTTGTTGAAGAAGACAGTCGGAGATTTGTTTCTCAGGAGACAGGGCACCTCTACATAGCCAAAGTGGAGCCATCCGATGTGGGAAATTACACGTGTGTGGTCACGAGTATGGTGACCAACGCCAGAGTTCTAGGTTCTCCAACACCTTTGGTGCTACGTTCTGATGGTATGAAATATTTCCAAGTATAATTGTCATTTAAAATCTTGTGACTACAAGCAAAAACAAACTGGAAAAGGTGACAAATACAACTGTATAAGTTGAAGAATTCTGTCTGATTTTTTTTTTCCTGAACAAAGAATACCTATATGTATTCTTGACTAAATGGCTAAAATGATTCCATAAGCCATAGGGCCCTATGCATAATAATTATACAGTATCAGCTAGATTATACCCAGAGCCCCAAATGGAAAGGTGGCACCACTTCTTCCAAACTTCTGAAGGATTGGGAAGGTGAGAGCTGAGCATTATAGCACGTTGTGGAACCCATCAGAATGGGGGGCTCTCTGTGCCTTCCCAGATTGTCCTTCCATGAAGCCACCTCTGTCAGCCTGAGATTTTTGAACCTTTCACTATTTTATGATTGGTTAAAAAAATAACCCTTAAAAAAAAAAGTTACTAAAGAAAACGAAAAGTTTCATTACCCCTTTGATGGCAGTTTAAGGGGAGCCTTTAACTGCCACAGAAAGAGATTTGTAAGCTTGGGGGTTGACCCACTTACACAAAACGGTATCTCCCTATCTGATGCAGCACAAAGCCCTGGCCACAGTGGATCTAAGCACTCTTCCCTGCCAGTAATAGTTGCATTTGACCTTTTCCATGTATTAAGTCACTGTTTCCTGCCTCCAGGGAACCATTTAATAAGTTTAAGTTGGGTGTCAGTGCTACCAGGGAACCATTAAGAAAATTCCATACTATAATTTTGGTTCTTTAGGAAATTTTAAGAAATCTTAATACAGTTTGTATTTCAGTTTGACCGTAAATGTCCAAATTAAATGCAGAATAATAACATACAAACAAAAAAACCCTCCCATTTTATATACAATAAGACATAAAGTGGTTTTCTCAGAACTGTTTCTGTAAACAATAACATAAAGTCACTGAACCCCAAATTCTTTTTTTTTTTCATGTTGAGCCCCAGATTCTTGAATATTTATTTATGTTGCATGTTGGGTCCGTGTTAGAACTCAGTCTAGTAGTATCGTAACTGATGACGAGTGAGTAGCTGAGATCATTAGGAGGAGTTTATTCAAAAAAGACCGAAAGAGTTATATTTAAGAAAAACAAGACAATTGCAAAGGTAGCAATGAAACGAATAAAGTTGTATTGTGTCTTTACAGGTGTGATGGGTGAATATGAACCCAAAATAGAAGTTCAGTTTCCAGAAACATTTCCAGCAGCTAAAGGTTCAACTGTAAAATTGGAATGTTTTGCCCTTGGAAAGTAAGTTTTATAACCTCTGATTTATGTGTGGAAATATTAAATTGCTCTAAGAGTTCAGGGTGCCTTTTAACAGACTCTTCTCCTTTTTTCTTAATTTCTGCAATTTACTTTCATTTAGAGGCAAAGGAATAATAAAATACAGGGGAAGTCCACAAATGTAATTTAATTAGAAACTTGCAAGGCAATTGGGAGAAAATGATTCTGTCTTCCTAATTTCATAAATTAAATCAGTAATACTTTTTCTTTGCTTGGACATGTGTTGTATTTTAACACAGTGAGTCAGTATTACTTTTTTTTACTTCAGGTTTTATTTTTTTCCTCTAAATCCTAAATTAACTCAAGAAAATGCAGTTTCTTTTATCAAAATATCAACTTTAAGCACTAAATCTTTGCACCAGGTTTATATAACATAATTGACACCTGGAAGAGTTCTGTATTTGGAAACCTGTGCTTTTTTGCTCTTTCCTAATCAAAACTTCATTTTGTCAAGCCAAAAAAAGCTTCCCGACATCAGTTCAAGAAAAGCAAGTAGCTTATCATTTTTTTTCTTAGTCCTGTACCTCAGATTAACTGGAGAAGAAGTGATGGACTGCCATTTCCCAGTAAAATTAAATTGAGAAAGTTCAATGGTATGCTTGAAATTCCTAATTTCCAACAGGAAGACACAGGTTCATATGAATGCATTGCTGAGAATTCACGAGGGAAAAATGTTGCCAGAGGACGCCTGACTTACTATGGTGAGCATCCACTTTGAGCAAATTGGTGATCCCATATTAACTTTTCTCTCTTATCTTGTTGTTGTTGTTACTGGGGTAGGCACATGTCATACTGTAATTTCACAGTCCAAATTGTATTATTTTATGTTTTGTTTAGAATCCTGGTATAGCACTATAGTTAAGCGCTGGACTGCTAACTGCTAGGTTGGTAGTTCAAACCTGCTAGCTAGTCCTGGAAACACCCTATACAAGGTTGCTATGGGTCAGAACCAACTCAATAGCACTTAACGACACCATATTAAAGAGGACAAACTCTTACTGTAAACTAAAGAACACCCAAGTTGTTGAACTGATTCTTCAAATCATAGAGGAAATTAAAAACAATATTCAACAATGAAGTTTGAGGTAGAAAGCCTTTTATTTCGCATTTTTAAATGATTCCTATGTTACTGAAATATTTTGAATTTTTTCTCCAAGAATCATCTTTTACACAATGAAAAGTATTAAGGAGAATTTTCTGCTCCTTCCTTGAGACATCTTTATTACCTTTATCTGGAAGAGTTTCAGTTGCTGCGTTAACAAACCACATAAACTCAAGCTCTTACTGAGTCCTTCCATAGCTGTTATCTCCCTTCCAATAATATATCTGCGCAGTGTTTGCTGCCTTTAATTTGCAATCACATTTATTTGATGGACTGCTCAATTTGAGTTAGGAAGGGGTAATGATGTTACCTTTACTTAGACTCTATTTGCAGGGAAATTAAATTGTCTTTTTTTTTCCCCCCTTTTCCAAATTTGCTTTCAAATCCCTTTTACACAGAAAAAAATAGGAAAAAGAGAAGAACAACTTAGATTGTTGATGGTTTAAGTTCAGTGAATGTAGGTTTGTAATTTTGCCATTAGAAATTTTGTGAGACTATTATTGGGAATTGATCATCCAGTTCTTAGTCACAGGTGTGTGTATAGATCTATCGGTAGTTTCATTCCATCCCAGGCTGATAAGTTTTGAAAGGAGCAAATGCCTTTCAATATGAAATAGGGAAAAGTGATTTGGGGATGAAATACATGTCAGATTGAGCAATTCATTTGTATTAAAAATAAAGAAAATAAAAATAAGACAAAGCTTAGACTTGTGACTTTTCTCTAAAAGCTATGTAGCCAATGTTTCATTTCAATTTCATTTATAAAAGAACAGTTTTATTGGATAGAAATGGAAAGACAGCTCTTCCCCTCGGTTTCAATTGAAGAGAAATACATAAACTCTTTTTCCATATGGAGGATGCAAATGCGGATCCCACACTAGGTACCACATGCATAATGCAATGTGAAACCAGTAAGACATGACACCTCCCAGTTTTGGATCTAAAATGCAAGCTGAGACTTGGCTGAGTATGTTGTGTATATTGAATGAATTTCATTGCAAGTGGTATGTTGCTTTCATTTGTAAAAAAGACTTTTCCAAATATCTTCTAAAACATAAGAGAAAACGATAAACTCACTTTATCCAAGTGATTTGCATGTATAATTTGAAGTTGTTTCTTTTTCTGGTAAAAAAAAATCATATTATGATTCAAATTGAACCAATTTATCCATCTTTTGCTGCCTTCAGTTTAATTTGCACAGAGGTTCATAAGATGCTCACTGGTTTGTATTTAATTAAGAGTTATTTCTAACTTGAGGGAAACATTTTTTTTCCCCTCGGCTATAGAAGAGAAATTCTATGGATGTTAATTTTTAGTGTATAATTAAGACTAGTATCTGCTGTCACTCATGTATTAAATTGTTACCAGTTGCAATCTTATGATTCAAACATCCACTTGGAAAATCAAATCAAATGTATTTACCTGTATGCAAAACAAAACCAGAAAAAATAAAAATAATAAAATCTTGCCAACAAGTTGGGACCTCATGTATATCAGAGTAAAACTGTGCTCTGTATGTGTAGGGTTTTCCTGGTTGTAACCTTTCTGAAGCTGATCACCAGAGCTTTCTTCCAAAGTATGCCTGAAGGGGTTTGAACCAATATTTGGCTAGTGATCTAACCCTTAGCCATTTTTGCCACCCAGGAACTCCTAACTTTCTACTCATTGAGAGATGAGGAATATATTTAAGTGCCCAGAATTTTTAAAACACAGAAAACATAATGAGTCTGGCTTAGTTAATGACAGATTCCAACATCCATCCTTATATCTAGAAACATTTCATACATGCAATTTATAAAATTTTGTTAAACACATTTCTAGTCACTATGAAGTCCTGGTGTGGCACTGGGGATTAATGCACTGGACTACAAAGTCAGTTTGAACTGCAAGGTCGGCAGTACAGGCTCACCATCTGCTCCTCAGAAACCCTATACAGGGTCGCTATGGGTCCAAACTGACTCAACAGCGCTTAACAACAACAACTAGTCACTGTGCTGAAATTTGGTGTGCCACTGTAGGATACACACTGGACCACAAGATCAGTTGAATTGCAAGGTCGACAGTTCAAACTCACCAGCCACTCCTCGGAAACCTTATACAAGGTCACTATGAGTCAGAACCAACTACATGGCACTTAGTAGCAACAACAACATACTGAGTTTGGGGTCCTGTGTGGTGTGGTGCTCTAGGATAAACACAGAACTGTTAGTCACAAAATCAGTGGTTCAAACCTACCAGCTGATCCTTGGAAACCCTATATAGAGAGTCACTATGAGTCAAAAGCAAGTCAATGGCACTTCACAGTAACAACAACAATGCTGAGTTTAATCACTTATTATAATCATATGTCTATTTACATTTATCTGGATGAGTTTTGTTTGTTTTGTTTTAATGAGATTGCCTTATTTATTTATTGCTGTTCTTATATACACATAGCAAAGCCTCACTGGGTTCAGACCATAAAGAATGTGGAAATCGCTGTGGAGGATAATCTTTATTGGGAATGCCGGGCAAGTGGTAAGCCGAAGCCCTCCTACCGATGGTTGAAAAACGGAGACGCTTTGGTGCTAGAGGTAAGGTTGTCTAGCTAACTCTCCTCTCCATTTTGTTCAATAAAAGCATTCTCCAGAACACAGCACAGAAGTGAAATTGTTAGTTTGCATACACTTTCATTTGCATGTGAATGATACACACACACAAATAAGTCAAGCAACCTAGTCTACCAAGGAAGCGTGTTTAAACACTGAATTTCATTGAAAAAGGTGATTTATGAATTTAAGCTACAAAGTAATGTGCTCCATTTTTGGTATTGAAATTAGAGAAAACTCTACTTCAACCAAGTGCAGAATGTAATTTTCTTTTTCTGTTTGCTAACTTCGTATGCCCTGTGCAAAATAAATATGTGTATTGGTTGACGGCCATGTTCTATGGACACTCATTTTCTCCATCACTGTCATTCTCAAGCCATGCAATTTGTATTTTTTCATAAATTATGCACTAAGTTGATTATGTTCCTACAAATCTGCATATGCAGACTTCTAAATATACTGACAAATATTTGTGTTTCTAAGATCTGTCTTAAATGCACAGAATTTATGGTAGCTTGAGCAGGCATGAAGAAAAAAAAGTGGTGAAAACTCTTCTCAATGTTGATAAAGAAAACAACTACATGGCACTTTTTTGTTTCATTTGTGAAATTTGAATCACCATGAAAAACTAAAATGGCTGCAATGTTTTTTCTTGTAGTTTTGTTATTTATTTTAATACTGAGTGACATTTGGGCTGAAGGATGTTCATTAGTATTGCCAATGTGTGCCTGTTAAGTTAAATCAGCCTTTCACGTTTCCCATGAAAAAAGGTTAAGATTGAAATATGGAAAGTTTCTGTGTGATTTAAATGATAGTCAAGGATGTTTCTTTTTCTTCCAAAGGTGATGAATCTCTTTATATGTAAGATGTTTTTGTTGTCATTTAGGAAAGAATACAGATAGAAAATGGTGCCCTTACAATATCAAACCTAACTGTTACTGATTCGGGCATGTTCCAGTGCATAGCAGAAAACAAACATGGTCTTGTCTACTCCAGTGCTGAACTCAAGGTTGTTGGTAAGAATGAAATTTTCTGTTCTTATTTTATTTTTAAGCATCTCCATTGTTGCCAGAAGCAGTTTATTTAGTTTTCATATTACGTTCTTGCATGTAGCAATATCTACAGTATTACAACAGCATCCCTCAGGGGTTCTCACCAAGGCCTATGTGTATTAAGTACTATTTAAGGGAAATAGGAATTATTGGCTGGAATTCGGACCTAAAAGTTGAAGTAAATCGTAAGATAAAAGTTTTGTCCTAAGACATCCTGATCCAACTCTAATCAAACAAACTGAGCAGTGCTTTATAAGAGAATACATGACTTTGGTGTTCTCGGTTACAGATCCATAAAGTCCATAACAATATTTGAATCAATCACTTATGGATTCAGAAGGAATGGCCATCGTTTGTAGTAACCGTGTTAGTAGCATCAAACATTGGACATTGGACTTGCTGAAACCTTAATTTACTAAAGTGCAACTATTTGAAATTCTGTATTATTTTCTTCTTCTTGTACCTAAGGTTCAAGATAAAGAAAAATGTGTACCATGTTTAGAACTATTGTCTATAATGGCATGTTAAATTGCAAATTACTGAAAATCCAACCAATAATGGGCATAACATAAATGATAGGAATGAATAAACCAAAAAGGAAATGAATGAATAAGTGAGTGCGTGAGTAAGGGAATAAGATATTTATTGTCCCGTATATGGAGAGCTCTGGTAGCGTAGTGGTTACGAATCGGGCTGCGAACCTTAAGGTCAGCAGTTCGAAACTACCAGCTGCTCCGCGGGAGAAAGATGAGGCTTTCTACTCCCGTAAAGATTTACACCCTCGGAAACCCTGTACAGGGTCGCTATGGGTCGGAACCGACTCAACGGCACTTAACAACAACAACAACATATGGAGTCCTGGCATGGCACTATAGGGTTATGTGCTGAACTACAAAGTTGGTTTGAACAGCAAGATCTGTGGTTCAAGCTCACCAGCTGCTCCCTGGAAACCATATACAGGGTCACTATGAGTCAGAACTGACTCAACAGCTCTTAACAACAACATAGTTTATATGGAAAATTTGAATTTGGAATTCTATATAGCTTGGTCTAAAGCTGAAACATTGTCAGCATTGTCAAGTTCTATATGATGTCCCTCAACACATTCATTTGATGTCCTTCACTACATCTAACCTAGTAGAAACCAGATAGCCTTCTTAATTTCTCGAATTACAGTCACTGCTCAGAGTTTCAGTAAGACTCTGTTGTGTGATGTGAAACATACACCCATCATTGTCCCAGCACTTAGGACCAGAGTGTTATAAAGTATTGTTTATTTCATTGAGTGGTTCCCAGCAGGGAGCTGTGTTTTGCTAGTAACAGATATTTACTAATGTACAGCTACCCCGTAGGTAGATGTATATTAACAAATAGCTGTTGTAAGCAAAACACAGCTCCCTGCTGGGAACCAGTCAGGTACCTAGTAGGTAGATGGACTCCTGGTGTGGCACTGTAGGATCAGCACTAGACTGTAAACTACAAGGTCGGCAGTTCAAATCCACCAGCTGTTCCTCAGAAACACTATACAGGTTTGCTGTCATTTGGAACAGACTTGACAGCACTTAAAAAGAAACAGAAGTAAGTAGATGGGCTACAAATTCTGCGTAACATCCTATAACGTACACTCTCCTACTAAAAAAAGTTATCCTGGCCCAAAGTCTTGATGTAGAAACCTGGTTTAGAGGAAAGCACATCTCTCAACCCAGATGCCTGAAGTTTAGAGCCACAGCTCCATCAAAAATCAATCACTAGATAACTAATCAAATTCCTTGACCCCTGAGTGGATTCTCACTCGTAGTGACCTCTTGTGTTACAGACTAGTATTTCTCCCTAGGTTTTCCTTGGCTGTAGTTTTTTTTTTTGCAGAAACAGATAGCCAGCTTTTCTTTTGTGAGACTGCTGGGTGAATTCAAACCACTAACTTGTAGGTTAGCAACTCATTGCAAACTGCTGGTGCCACCGAGGAGCCTGCCTTCTGCACTGTTGTTGTTAAGTGTTGTTGTGCAAATCTGTATAGGGTTTCAAGAAGCAGCTGGTGGATTTGAACGGCTGACCTTGTGGTTATCAGACTGCCGCACCAGGATGCCAACAGGAGGGCTAAATCCTGAGGAGGACAGATTATCACACATAACCTAGCTGCTATTAACAGTGGTGGTGGGATACAGTAATATGGCAAAAACTGTGGGAATAGTCATTGAAGACTTAGGTTGAAACCTTGCTATATACTTATATTACATTAAGCTGTTTTGTTGTTGTTGTTAAGTACCGTGGAATCACTTCCGACTCAGAGTGACCCTGCACAGAGTTTCTGAGGCTATAAATCTTTACGGGAGCAGAAAAATCTCATCTTTCTCCCGCAGAACGGCTGATAGTTTCGAACTGCCGACTTTGAGGTTAGCAGCCCGATTTGTAACCACTACGCTACCAGAGCTCATTTCATTAAGATGATGAGTCACTGTTTATTCATCTTCAAAATACAGGGATCTACCAAACTACCTACTTCGGTTTGTGGAATTGCTGCACGAGAAAAAAAGTGTAAAAAATATATTAGACTTTACCCAAATATAATGTCGTTATGTCTTATTTTAGTAAAAGCTATTAATTTCTCAGGATCTTAATTTTAAGGCCAGTCACTGCTGCGTCAGTGGTTCTAACTCACTAATGGCTCCGCAGAAATCCTATACAGGGTTGCTATGATTTGGAACTGACTCAGTGGCTCTTAACAAGTGCTGTATAACTTGTCTTCCTTATCCCCAAATGATATAATTCATTGTGAGATAGTCTCTTATCAAACATTACGTAAAATCATGAGATTCTCCATCACTTAGAACATTAGATTTTTGGGGAGGTGCTCTAGGTTGTGAATGTTTTCCACCTGTATAGTAAAAAGAGTGATTTTCACATTAACATTTAACTATCTCCGTATCATTTCATTCAAATGGTCTGTTTTTCATGTATCGTGACAGGCAGGTGTTGTTTTGGGATTAGTATTCCAATGCATTATTAACAAACAGTGTTTTCTACATGGTATAATATTTAATATTATTGTCATTGTTGTTTGGTGCCATCTAGTTGATACAAAACACTGCCTGATCCTGGGCCAACCTCACAATCATTGCTACGTCTGAGCAAATTGCTGCTGCCACTGTGCCAAACCATCTCATTGGAGGTCTTCCTCTGTTTCTCAGACCCTCCACTGTGCTAAACATGATATCCTTGTCCAGGGACTGGTCCATCCATCCTGATAATATGGCCAAAGTGTGAGAGATGAAGTTTGGCCATCCTGGCTGCCAAGAAATTCTCTGGCTGTACTTCCTCTAGTACAGATCTGTTTGGTCTATTGGCAGGCTGTCGTACTTTCAATATTCTCCTCCAACACCAAAACTCAAATGCATCAATTCTTTTACTGTCTTCCTTATTCATTCTCCAACTTCATATGCTTATGAGGTTATTGAAAATACCATGACTTGGGTCGGGCACACCTTAATCCTCAAACTGACATCTTTGCCCTTCAACACTTAAAAGAAGTCTTGCACAGCATATTTGCCCAATGCAATACATCATTAGATTTCTTGAAGGCTGCTTCCATAAGTCTTGGTGATGAGATGTGAGCAAAATGAAATCTTTGACAATTTCAATCTTCTCTCCATTTATATGGGTGTGGTTTATTGGTCCAGTGGTGAGGATTTTTGTTTTAATTCATTGAGGTACAAACCATACGGAAGACTGTGGTCTTTGATCTTCACTAGTAAATATTTAAGTCCTCTTCACTTTCAGCAAGCAAGGTTGTATCATCTGCATATCGCAGGTTATTAGTAAGTCTTCCTCAAATCCTGATGCAACATGGTTTTTTTGTTTTGTTTTTCATATAATTCAGCTTCTCGGATTATTTGCTCAGCATACAGATTGAATAAATATAGTGAAATAATACAACCTTCTTGCACCACGTTCCTAATTTTCAACCATTCGGTGTCCCCACGTACTGTTTACCTCTTGGTCTGTGTACAGCTTCCTCTTGGGCACAATTAAGTGTTCTGGAATACTCATTCTTTGCCCTGTTGTCCTTGGTTTGTCATGATCCACACAATCAAAAGCCTTTTCATAATCAGTAAAGCACAGGTATACAGGTTTCTGGTATTCTCTACTTTTAGCCAAGAACTGTCTGATGTCAGCAGTGACATTTCTCATCCTTGTCCTCTTCTGAATTCAGCTTGAACCTCCAGAAGTTTTCTGTCAATGTATGGCTGTAGCAGTTTTTGTATTTAATAAAACTTTACTTACATGGTATATCAATGATATTATCCAATGTTTTCCACAGTCTGTTGAGTCACCTCTCTTTGGAATGTGCACAAATACAGATCTCTTCCAGTCAGTTGGTGAAGTAGTTTTCTTCCAAATTTCCAGACATAGATGAGTGTGTACCTCCAGTGCCATCTCTGTTTGTTGAAAGATTTCAATTTGCAGTCCATCAACTCCCGGTGCCTTGTTATTTGCCAATGCCTTCAATGCACCTTCAACTCTTCCTTCTGGATCATTGGCTCTTGATCATATTTCACCTCTTGAAATGGTTGAAGACCAACCATTTATTTTTGATACAGTGACTCTGTGTATCCCTTCCATCTTCTTTTAATGCTTTCTGCATCATTCAGTATTTTGCCCAGAGAATCCTTCAATACTTCAACTTGAGCCTTGAATTTGTTTCTTCAGTTCCCTCAGCTTGAGAAATGCTGAGCATGTTCTTCCCTTTTGGTTTTCTAACCATAGGTCTTTGCACATTTCTTTCTAATATTTGACTTTGTCTTCTCGAGCTGCCCTTTGAAATTTTCTTTTCATCTCTTTTACTTCCTCACATTTATTCCATTTGCTTTAGCATCTCTACAATGGAGAGCAAATTTCAGCATCTCTTCTGACATCTATTTTCGTATTTGTCTTCTTTCTTGTATCCTTAATGATCTTTTGCTTTCTTCCTGTGTGATGTTCTTGATGTCATTCCACAACTCATCTGGTCTTTGGTCTTTAGTATCTAATGCAGCAAATCTCTTCTTCAGATGATCTATAAATTTAGTTGTGATATATTCATGTTCATAATTTGACTCTCATGGACTTCTTCTAATTTTCTTCACCTTCAGCATGAATGTGCATATGAGCAATTGAAGGCCTAGTCCACAGTCTGTTCCTGGTCTTATTTTAGTTGATGATATAGAGCTTTTCTGTCATCTTTTCCACAGATATTGTCAATTTCATTTCTGTGTATTCCATCTGGTGAGACTCATGTCTTTTATATTGTTTGAAAAAAGAAAGACATGTGCAATGAAGAAATCATTCCTCTTGCAAAATTTTATCATGTGATCTCCACCATGGTTTGTATCACCAAGGCCATATTTCCAACTTCCAAACCTTTCTCTTTGTTTCCTATCTTTGCATTTCACTTGCCAGTAAATATCAATATATCTTGATTGTATCTTTGGTCAATTTCAGACTGAAGTTGGTAGAATTTTTCAGTTTTGTAATCACTGGCTTTACTGGTTGATGTGTAAATTTGAGTAATAGTGGTATTAACCAGTCTTCCTTGATGCTGTTGTTGTTGTGAAGTGCCGTCAACTCTGTGCCGACCCACAGTGACCCTGTGTAACATTTCTGAGGAGTAGCTGGTGAGCTTGAACTACCGGCCTTGCGATTGAAACCAATTTTGCAGTCCAGCACATTAACCAGCAGCACCTCACCAGAATTCCGGTCTTCCTTATAGGTGTATGGATATTATTCTATCACAGACAGTGTTGTAATTCAAGACAGATCTTGATATGTTCTTTTTGATGATGAATGAGATGCCATTCCTCTTCAATTTATCATTCCTGGCATAGCAAAGCCTGTGGTATTTAAACTCAAAATGCCCAATACCAGTCTATTTCAGCTCACAATGCCAAGGATATCAATGTTTATGTATTCCATTTCATTTTTTACAATTTCCAATTTTCCTAGGTTCATATTTCTTACCTTTCATGTTCCGATTATTAATGGGTTTTTATAGCTGTTTGTCTTCATTTTGTTCTGTACCTCATCAGCACATGAAGGTCCCGAAGACTTTATTCCATTAGTGCCATTATGGTCAACACTACTTTGAGGCAGCAGCTCTTCCCCAGTCGCATTTTGAGTGCCTTCCAACCTGAGGGGTGTGTCTTCTGGCACTATAACTGAATATTTTCTATATTGTCATTGTTGTTAAGTACCGTCAATTTGCTTCTGACTCATAGGGTTTCTGAAGATCACCTGATGGATTTGACCGCTGACTTGGTGGTTAGCGCTTCAGTTCTTATTCTACAGAACAATGGCATGATTCCAACATAGTAGTAGTGTTGTTGTTGTTGTTGTTGTTGTTATGTGCCATCCAGTCAGTTCTGACTCATAGCTATCCTACACAGAGCTTCTGAGGAGCAACCGGTGACTTTGAACCACTGACCTTGCAGTTCAAACCAACCTTTAGTCTAGTGCATTATCCCATAGTGCCAAAACACGACTCCTGTATATTAACTGTTATAATACTGTATTATTATAATAGTGTTATTATTAACTAATATATATTAACTACAATAATATATATACTAATGGAACGATGAGACTTTCTACTCCCGTAAAGATTTACACCCTCGGAAACCCTGTACAGGGTTGCTATGGGTCGGAACCGACTCAACAGCACTTAACAACAACAACAACAATGCATTATTATAGTAGTTAATATACTATTATACTACTATATTATAATGGTGGTGGTGGTTATGTGCCGTGGAGTCGGTTCCAACTCTTAGCGACCCTGTACAGGGTTTCCAAGACTGTAAATCTTTACTGGAGCAGAAAGCATCGTCTTTCTCCCATAGAACAGCTGATAGTTTCAAACTGTTGTCCCTGAGGTTGGCAGCCCAATTTGTAACCACTACGCTACCAGAGCTCCTTATTATATTATAATAGTTATAACATATTAACTATCATGATGCTGTATTAAGGTGCTCTGATAGCATAGTGGTTGTGAGTTGGGCTGCTAACCTCAAGGTCAGCAGTTCTAATCTACCAGCAGCTCTGTGGGAGAAAAATGAGGCTTTCACTCCTGTAAAGATATACAGCCTCAGAAACCCTATACAAGGTGGCTATGGATCGGAATCAACCCACGGCACACAACCACTGGCACCAACATACTACTATAATAGTTAATCTACTAATGCATACTGTAATATTTTTCCTTAGTTTGAAAGTTAAACTTGAGTATTTTGTAGCTGATTATGATTTTTTTTAACAAAAACGAATATTAATTCAATAGTCAGCCTTTGTTCTAAAGCTATTAAGCACAGACTGAGCGAGACACTGGGCCAAGCATGGTTTCCTGGAGGTCATAGGAGAGACGAACCCTACTCCTGACTTCATGTAACTAGCTTTTAAAAGCATTCTTTGAGAACTATTATTCTTTTATTTAACAAATTGAGCTATTTTAAAACATCAAGGAAATCTTTAAAAACGCTTGTATAAAGTAATCATGTCAAGATTTAGAACTTACCAGAAAACATAATAGCATGAATTACTCTTTTGGCGCTGAAATCCTGTATGTCACACAGTAAATCTTATGTCAAATGCTAACTTCTTGTGTGCCCGGCCTAATTTTAAAATGATTACGTCTACATTTGAAATTTACAATTTAAAAAAACTTAATGATCCAGTTCTCTTTCTGTCTCTCTTTCTCTTCAGCCTCTGCTCCAGATTTTTCAAAGAATCCTATGAAAAAGTTGGTTCAAGTGCAGGTGGGCAGCCTGGTCATCTTGGAGTGTAACCCCAGAGCCTCACCAAGGGCACTTTCATTCTGGAAGAAGAGAGATGGAATCGTGCAGGAGAATGAAAGGTATTCTATTCTGTTGCACAAAATAGTGGTGATACAGTTTCTTCTCATTTTCCATAGTGATGCTGACTTTGATTTTTAATATTCCAGCATTTCAGTAATGTAGGGGGGATGTCAGTTTAAGGACTAAGGTGTGCCTGACTCAAGCCATGGTGTTTTCAGTAGTTTCATATGCATGTGAAAGTTGAGTAATGTATAAAGAAGGCCTTAGAAGAATTGATGCATTGGAGTTATGGTGTTTGCGAAGAATATTGAAAGTACCATGGACTACCAGAGGAGCAAATAAATCTGTCCTGGAAGAAGTGTAGCCAGAATGCTCCTGAGAAATCAGGGTGGCGAGGCTTTGCTTCTCATTCTTTGGACTTGTTTTCTGGAAGGACTTTTCTTGATTGGTAAAGTTCATGAAGAAGAAGAAGGTCCATGAAAAAGAAGAAGACCCCCAGTTATTGGGGTAGAATGTTTTATTCTGTTATGCATAAGTTCACTTTAAGTTGGAACCATCTCGAAAGCAGGTAATAGTAACAAAAACAATGGGGGAGTTTAAGAACAAAAATATAATTATTTTAGGCTTACAACATTCTCCTTTTTATACTAAGCATTTTAAGTTTTACTGCGGTGAAATAAAGGCAACTAAAATTTTGTCACTTTAAACATTTTTAAGTGTACATTAATTATAGTGACGTTAATGACCTTTCCATTGTTGCCCAGTCATCACCACTACCATAGCCAAAAGATTTACATTACCCCACATTAAAGCTCAGTACCCCTTAGTAGTATCATCCCCCCAATCTTCCTCTCCTTAGCTCCTAATAACCAATAATAAACTGTGTCTCTGTGTCCTTGCCTATTCTAGGTAACTCTCAAACAGGGGAATTACACTGTTTATCCTTTGGTACCCACCATGTGCCATGCAGCCCATTTTTAAGGGTCATCCATGTCACAGCATGTCTCAGAACTTCATTTCTCTTGATGAGTGGATAGTGTTCCATTGTGTGGGTGTATCACATTCTGTTTATCCATGCATCTGTAGATGGGTGCACAACTTATTTCCATCTATTGGTCATTGTGGATAGTGCTGCAGTGAATATTTATATACAATTTCTGTTTAAATACCGTCTTTCAATTCTTTTCCATTTATATCTAGCAGTGGAACTGCTGGTTCATATGGTAATTTTTTGCTTCACCTTTTGAGGAGCTGCCAGGCTGTTCTCCTCATTGGTTGTAGTATTTCACATTCCCACAAGCAATGTACAAGGATTCTAATTTCTCCACAACTTCCTCAACATTCTGATTTCTCATTTTGCTTATAAAAGCAATCCTCCGTATGAAAAACCCATTGCCAACAAGTTGATTCCAACTTATCACAATGCTGTGCGGGTTACCAAGGCTGTAAATCTTTACTGGAGAAGAAAGTCTCTCACAAGGAGCAGCTGGTGGATTCGAACTGTTCACCTTGTGGTTAGTAACCCAGCATGTAACCCACTATATAACCAGGATGCTCTTAAACTTATTGCTCCTGAGTGAATTCTGAATCATAGTGATCCTGTATAGCATTTCTGAGACTGTAAATCTTTACAGGAACAGAGAGCCTCATCTTTCTCCCATGAAGCCACTGGTGGGTTTGAACTGCCAACCTTGCATTGAACTGTGTGGCGCTTACCCTCCAGCACCATCACGGCTCCATTTTCCAGTTGTGTGAAGTGATATTTTATTGTGGTTCAAACTGTTATTGCCTTCATGACTAATGATGTTGAACAATTTTTCATAGACTTATTGTAGGATAATCACTGGACTGTGACCCACAAGATAAGTGATTCGAGCTCACTCACTCCTACAAGAGAGAGAAATAAGGCTTTCTACTCCCACAAAGATTTTTTTTTAAGGCTTCGGAACCTTTTACAGGATTGCTGTGAGTCGAAACCAACTTGATTGCACTTAACAAGAACAATGACCATTTCTTTACTGCTTTAATGAAATGCTTATTCAAGTCCTTTGCTCATTTCTTGATTGGATTGTTTGTCTGTTTGTTATTAGGTGGTACTAGGACTTCATATATTCTGGATACTAGAGGCTTATCAGATAATGTTGTTAAATGCTATTGAATTGATTCCAACTCATCACAGTCTTGTATAGGGTTTCCGAGGAGCAGCTGGTGGATTTGAACTGCCAGCCTTGTGCTTAGCAGTCCAGTACTTATCCTACAGTGCCACACCAGAACTCTTTATCAGAAGTTACCAGTATTTTCTCATTATTGGAAGAGTTTTAGTCACCGAAATCACAATATTATTTTTTCTTTTTAAACCACAATATTCTTAAAATGAATATAAGTAAGTTTTAACATGCTAGAAGTTCTCTGTATAAGCAGCCAGACTGCTTCTGCACCCTCTGCCTGACAAGGAGAGAGCTGGGCCACAACACAGAGAAGGCGTGTTGCTGAACAGAGTGGTCCTGGCCGAGTGCTGACACCCAGTAGCGTGCGTGAGGCCAGGGATTGACAGAGCCTCTTCAAGATTTCTGGTGGTTCATTTGAACTCCAGTGATCTAAAACAAAACATGAACCAAGCAAGAAGTTATTGAAAAGATGTGAAAAACAAAAAGACCAAAACAGATGTAAGAAAAGACTGTGAAATTTACTATTGAATGTAAAGTAGCTAAGATGAATGGGGATAAAATGATGACATGAAAAAGCAACACCAGAAGAAGAAAACAGAAAATTTCAAAGGTTGGCTTCAAGAGACAAAGTAAAGTATTCTAATGGATTGTGCAGAGAGCTACAATCAGAAAATCAAAAGGGAAGAACAAGCTTTACAAATTGATGATCTAATTCAAACTCTCTGAGTTCCAATACTGAAGGATTCTGTGGGCAAAATATTGAATGATACAGGAAGCTTCAAAAGAAGATCGATGAAATGCTTAAAAATTTCGTCAGTGTCTCATTATTTTGTTGTTGTTAAGTGCCATCAAATCAGTTCTGACTCATAGTGACCCTGCAAAGGGTTTCTGAGAAGCAGCTAGTGGGTTTGAACTGATGACCTGTGGTTCGCAGCCCAGTGCTTGTCCCCTCCATGTACCCACAGTTAACAGCATTTGCCTCTATCCACTTTAACTATTGCATTCCCCCTGGCATCTTCTGCTATCTTCATCGCTTCTCTGCTAACCACCCTCTTGTTGTATTGTCACCTGTGTTAACATGTGTCTACTCTCTAGCCCATGAATAATTTTACCTCCCATCTCCCTACCCCCATAACCATCATAGATTATTTCTTTGATCAAAAACACTTTTTTTTTTTTAACTTTTTACTACATTGATTTTATACAATGTTTGTCCTTTCTGATTGACTAATTCCACTCAGCATAATGTCATCCAGGTTCAATCATGTTGTGAGGTGTTTCACAGTCAACATTATTTTTCAACATTTTGTAGTATTCTAT